GCTCGCGAAACCTCCGCTTCGGAGAATGAGGTGAACGATGTGGAGATGGACTTGGTTCCGACAGAAAAGGACGACAGCCAGACCCGTTCCGACCACCCGGATTCGATGGAAACCACCACGTCGGGCGACGACAACGTAACCAACTCGGCGTCGGACAGTGTGTATCCCACTCCTTCCAGCATGTCCACCTATACCGCCCCTACAGAGACCCGGGCCCATTCTAAAGCAGAGGCCGGCGTTGCGTCAGCTGATCGACCCTCTTACGATGACCAGGTCGCACAGGTGACCCAGTTTATGATGCAGCCCATGAAGGAAAAACAAAAGGGTTATGTGGTGTCGAATTCGTGGCTGAAGCGAGTGTACTCGCGGAGTGCTACTCATGCAGACAAGGCAGACAAGACGGCGATGGAGGGAGACATCGGTCCCGTCGATAACTCGGATATTGTTCTGGTCACCGACCCGGCCAACACGGGCTTCAAGGACGAGGAAGGCGAACCCTTTGTTCCTTTGAGGCCTGGCTTGGAGCTCGGCGAAGATTTTGAGATCATCCCTCAAGGGGGCTGGGACCTGATCATGCAGTGGTATGGTCTGGCAGAACAGTCCCCGGCCATCGTTCGTTACGTTCACAACACCGCCGCCGTAGGCGACCAGGAGAACCTGCAATACGAAATCAACCCTCCGATCTTCACGATCTTGAAGCTCACCAACCCGTCTGCCGGCACTTCCATCAAGACCATGAAGGAGAAGACGATGGCTCCAGTGAGGACCCTGGCCAGTCGACACACCAACTTCCAGAAGTGGCTGAAGAACGCCAAAGAACTCGCTCAAATCGACATGTCGACCAAGGTTCGCGTTTGGAGGATTCTAGGTGGTCTCGGTAGTGCCACGGCATCCGCAGCAGCCACCCCAGCCGCATCCCGCAGTGCTTCTCCAGCCCCGTCCGCCTCCCTCATCGCCAACGCTGGAAGCAACCTCGTTCTTGACCTGAACACCTTCCTGTCCCTGTCCGAGGGGTCGCAGCGTGAGGTACTCGACGAGCCGAAGGACCAGACGAACAATCCCAACTACAATGGTAAGATGACTCTGGGCGTTGCGGGTCTCAACAGCAGCGAAATCATCGTGCTGGAGGAGAAGCTCCCTGGAACCAGCGGAGACTGGGTGTCGGAAGCCTCCAAGCAGACACTTAATCGTCTTGGAGTGCCATCCGGTAACCTGAAGAACGGAGCTCCCGCAAAAGTGAAGACCAAGAGTCCTGCTACCAGCGGCCGATCATCCCCGGTTTCAGAACCCATCAGGGGACGACGCAAGGACGGGAAACCCCGCGGCTGCACTGGTCTGAGCAACCTTGGGAACACCTGTTACATGAACTCGGCCCTGCAGTGCGTTCGCAGCGTGGAGGAATTGACCTACTATTTCTTGAGTACGTAGACTCCTGATCTTTGAAGTTTACTCTGCTAACTATCTATCTAGATGACGTTTACAAGAAGGATCTCAACCCCAGCAATCCTCTGGCTCACAACGGTGATGTGGCTAAAGCATATGCGAACATGTTGCGTCAGATGTACGATGAGGCAGGTCAATCTTCGTTTGCGCCCCGTCAACTGAAGCACACCATCGGCCGTTATGGACCGGCCTTCTCCGGTTACGGACAGCAGGATTCCCAGGAATTCCTTCTGTTCCTTCTGGACGGTCTCCAGGAGGATCTCAACCGTATCATGAAGAAGCCCTACATTGAAAAGCCGGACTCGACGGACGAGATGGTGCATAACAAGGAGGCTCTCGCAGAGTTTGCGGACAAGTGCTGGGACATCTATAAAGCCCGCAACGATTCCGTCATTACCGACCTCTTTGCTGGTATGTACAAGTCGACGCTGGTCTGCCCTGCTTGCGACAAGGTCAGCATCATTTTCGACCCTTTCAACAACCTGACCCTTCAGCTTCCAATCGAGAACCTCTGGGGCAAGGAGATTTTCTACTTCCCCTTGAACAAGAAGCCGGTTCTTGTCGATGTCGAAATCGACAAGAACGCTAGTGTCAAGGCGTTGAAGGAGCAGGTCGCAAAGAAAATGGGAACCGACCCTGAGCGCCTCGTTATGGCCGAGATCTATAAGAACAAGTTCTACAAGATGTTCGACAACACGAGCTCGATTGCTGAATGTCAGATCAGTGGCAACGACGATATTGGTATCTACGAGGTCGAGTCGGTGCCTACGAACTACAACCCCGACAAGCCTCAGAAGAGCTACTTCTCCTTCAGCCGCTCCGATCATGAGGAGATCCCCAGTCTGGACTCGCCTCGCTCCGATCGCTTGCTCGTCCCCATCTTCAATCGAGTCGAGAAGAAACGGGGAAACAACCCTAAGAATGCGCAGCGGTCGCTCTTTGGAGTTCCGTCGTATGTGGTCATCAACCGGGAGGAGTTTGGGGACTATGATACGATCTTCCGCAAAGTCCTGTCGCAGGTCGCCTCGATGACCACCCGCGACTTCCTGAATGAGGAGAATACGACAGAGGTCAGCCATGAAGACTCAGATACCGTTATAATGAACGAGGATGATGCGGAGTCGGCTGACTCGAAGATCAAGACCGCGTCCGTGGACGGCGAGGACGGCATGGTCGATGTCTCGATGCGTGACGCAGATGACAGTTCAAGCGATGCTCCAGCCCGCTCCGAAAACGGTATTCCCCCGAATGTGCGCGGTCTCTTTGAGATGAAGATCATCAAGTCGAGCAGCGAGGTTGTTCCCACTGGATGGTCTACCGTGGATGACCACAAGGAGTACCCCAAGATGTCGTTCAGAATCAAGACACCGGTGAAGAAGCAGAAACAGGTGAGCAGTCCTCTCTCTTTTCAAACCGAATCACTACTAAGCGATGGACAGTCTGTGGACAGCACAAACGGCACGGAGCAGAAGGATGACGAGTCTGGAGATAAAAGCTCCGACAGTGCCAGTGGTGAATCGGCTCCTAAGCCCAAGGCTCAGGACCGGCCGATGATCCGCCCCGGTGAGGGTATCGTCGTGGACTGGACTGAGCAAGCTCACGACGCTCTCTTCGCCGGAAGCAGTCGAGACAAGAACTCCCTTCGTGGTGCGCCGACATGGACGGACGTCGAACGTGTGCCTGACCCGGAGTTGAGCAAGCGCCGTACTCTGCGCCAGAACCGGAAGAAGCGAGGCGTGACGCTCTACGAGTGTCTGGATGAATTCAACAAGGAGGAGGTCCTTTCCGAGAACGATGCTTGGTACTGCCCCCGCTGCAAGGAGCACCGTCGGGCCAGCAAGAAGTTCGAATTGTGGAAGACCCCGGACATTCTGGTCATGCACCTCAAGAGGTTCAGCGCCAGCCGCGGATTCCGCGACAAGCTGGATGTCCTGGTCGACTTCCCTGTGGAAGGACTCGATATGACCGGCAGAGTTGAGTCGCCTGAAGAGGGCAAGAGTCAGATCTACGACCTCTTCGCTGTCGACAATCACTATGGAGGCCTTGGTGGCGGACACTACACAGCGTACGCCAAGAACTTCTTTACCGGACAGTGGAACGAGTACAACGGTAAGAAAGCCTGAAATGCAGAGTATCTGACAATTACTGACTGGACTAGATTCTTCCGTCTCGCGACCAATTGATCCGCAGAGTGTGGTCACCTCGTCGGCGTATCTGCTGTTCTACCGGCGCCGGTCCGACCGGCCGCTGGGCGGCAAGGTGCTGGAGGAGATCACGGAAGCGTCAACACGGCCGAACAGCGACGTGGACTCGCAGACCGAGTCTCGCGGACAGTCGCCGTCGGGGGAAGGCCGGCGTCTCGGCGGCTCCTCCCGCAATGGGTCGTCGAGCGCCTTAACCGGAGTCGGAGCAGCTCACCAATCGGGAGATGGTGGTTTGCCAACTGGAACCCAAACGAAGAGCGGGGATGATGACTGGCCGCCGGGCTACACCAACGTCCCGTCATTTGGCGAGCAGAGCCTAGATCGCGCGACGCAATCGGAAGGTATGAATTTCGAAGATGAGGAGATTGGCGGGGGCACGCAGCCCAGCCCGTTCCGCCCTCAGGACGACACACCCTCGTGGTCGTTCAGTCGCGCCACAGATGCTCACGGCCCTTCACAGATGACCACAGTTCCAACTGACGACGAGGATCTACTCGACGATGACGCGAGCAACCGGGCGGTAGACGACGGCGACGTCAGCGACCCGGACCTTCGGATGGCCTCTTTGATGGACAGTCCACGCGGGGCCGCCTATCCAGGTACCCCGATGGAGGAGACGTCATTCCCGGACATTTCGGCATTCGCAGCGGACGGCGACGATGATGAGGAGGATGAGTTGCCGGTGGTAGAACTCCAAGTGCATGATGAGGACCAGACACTGCCGTAGACAGGGGGATGATTCTCCCAATCTCTCTTACTGTCTTTTGGAAATGTGCAACGAATGATTACAGGTGTTTAGATCGCCCCACAGGGGATGGCGATAATGATCTTTCGCAGAGTGGATGATGATTTCGAGGAATGAAGTCGACGACCCTTATAATAGCCATGGTGTTTTGTTTTCTACGCAGCCCGGGAATAGAGAGGGCCGTGGATGGTTGCATGCATTTTTACGGGATCGGATGGCGGGTGCCGTCCTGCATTACATGTATTTTCGGAGCAGGTGAAGATGTTTTAAGCAAAAAAGGTGTGTTGAGTGAGGTGATGTTTTGCAGAGGGATGATATGGGGATGATGAGTGTGTATGGTTGAACCACGTGGGAGGTCATGGCGAGTCACACGCATGTGGCCGCTGTCATGCGATGCTGCAATGCGAGGCTACTGCTAAATATATACTACTACTTTCATACCAGGCCATAGAATTCAATTTATATGGTCTTTCATGTTGCTCTTACTATTAATGAATCGATTGTCATCGGATGCAATCCTGACAAACTAGACAAAGTGATGTGTTATTCCTGACAGCCTCGCCTGCCTAATCCGTTCTCTCACTCAGTCTCATCTGTCAATCTGTCCTGCTCTACTTAGACTTTCTTCCTGCTTACCTTACCTTTCTACTGTTCTCTGAAATCAAACCTCCAGCAGACACCCTGCACAGTCATCAGACTAGCTTCTTCAACACGTATTATCTCCTTCACATCCAACCTATCTACCTCCCTCTTCTCTTCTCATCTGAATCCCAACCTCAACCAATACTACATCCCAAACTAAACCCAACTAAACCCACCACAATCTCGAAACCAACCCAAAATGCGTCCACCAATGCCTTCATCCCCAGAAGCACAGAAAACCAAGAATAGCCCCAACGGATCCGCATGTACCCACACCACGAACGCGAGAAGAAAACCCCTGATGGATTTCTCGTCTCTGCATCCGTGCTCTGCTTCGATGGATGATGAGGAGGATGAGGATGAAGATCGTATGCGACCATCGCACGCAGAGATGGGATCGTTCTCGCGGATGCATGCAGCTTCGCACTCACATTCTCATCCATCATCATCCTCGTCGGCTTTGACTCCTACTCAGACGCAGAGTTACACTCCGTATCTGCCCAGAAATCAATCTAACTCAAATTATACGATTCCGTCGGGAAGCGACTCTACCCCGACATCAACCACTACAAGCACTACTACGAGATTGAAATCGAAAGCGAAAGCGAAAGCGAAGTCTACGACTGCACACGTCCACTTCCTGGACCAGATTGATATCTCAGATACGACTACCACTACTTCTGCACCTACAAACACGAACGGAACCAAAAACACAAAAGCAGATGGAATCACAGCTGAAGAAAAGACCATGCCTCTTGGTCCTCGCAGTCGGGATCTCTCTCTTAGTGAGAGCGAGATTAGTCTGCTGGATATAGGTCCCAGTCTGGTGTATGGTGATGATGGATATATTCCGCTGTCTGGGGGTGGATATGTGCGTGGACATGGGCAAGGTGACGGTGGTGGGGGTGGTGTTTCGGTGGTGGGGAGGGGGGTGCAGGGGTTGCAGTTGGAGTGAGGATTGTGGTGGTTTGTTGCTGTTTCTGTTGTAGATGTATGGAGCTTATGGTCTCTTACTCGGTCTGGTCTGTGGGTGTGGGATAGAGGAGTTATTCCTGTTGTTAGAATAGTGTAGAGTATTTCCTTTTCCTTCTGCTTGTTCTTTGTACTATGGGTATGAGTAACCAATGGTTGTAATTCTAATACTTCATGAATATTACATACATAATGTTCTATATACTCTAACTGAATCTATACAAGAGTCGAATCTTTATAGTTCCCACCCCAATACTCACATACTCACAGTGGAACCGGCCACCCATCCACATACGTCAAATAATTATATCCCAGCCGCGCTTCCTAAACCACACACCATTAGCCCACCTCAACACCATCTGAAAGATAAAAAAAAAAAGATGAACATACCTTAAACTCATACCCCACAGATTTATTCACTACCACACCAACGTTAGCACCACCACCCCTCTCAAAATCACGAGGAATAAATGGAAAGTGGGAAGGAAAACTTACAATAATGATAATAAAGCACATCCCCCTCCACCTCCCCACTCAACACGCCCTGTCCACCCGGCGCATAAACATCCCCATTCGAGCCATACACAATCTCCCCTCCGCCATCCACGAGATCTCTCCCTTGTTTATCCACGAATGGTCCCCGAGGGGAAGGTGAGCGTCCGACGCGGATGCTGTATCTGTTCCGGTCATACCATCATCATCAGTATTTCACTTCTTTTCTAGTCCCTCAAGGAATGACAAAACACAGAGACGGTGGAGGGAGAGGGAGGGACTTACTCCATCCCAGCCTTGGGCAACTTCTCCGGATTAAAATGGCAACACTTCCCCCAACTAAACCACAAATACCACCATGGCTCATGGTAGGATATAAACGCCCCTTCGACGGGATGCATACCCGTCGTATCGCCACATAATCCATCGGCTTTTTTGGTGGGTGGGTGGATGGCTGTCGGTTCATGGGCGAGATGTTTAACTCTTGTTTCTTCCTCTCCCTGCTTGTCCATGTGAAGCAGGTTAGGTTTCAACGGGACTTGCCATATCCCTGTCCAGAAACTGCCGAAGGTCATGTATCCTTTCCCTTTCGGTTTCTTGTCACTGCCTTCTTTGAGAGATGGCTCTCCTTCGGAGCGTTGGGATTGGGTGGTGTCAGTATAATCAACAACAACGCTAACATCAATCGCATTCGCCCTATCGAAGGGAAACTGCTTCCCCCGTTCCCCCCGGCCGGAGATCGCTATCGCGCCATGATCGACCCAGTCCCCGGGGCCCGGGGTGGAAGAGGTGGCTACGCCAATGGCGCTATCGCGACATCCGCTATTGCTTGTGGCGTAGAAGACGTAGAATGTGCCGTCGTGGAGAAGGGCGGTCGGTGCCCAGGGGGCTTTTCGATCACCTTTGGGGAGGATGCTATCTGCGTCGAGGACGGAGCCGACTTTGGTCCATGGGCCTTGGAGGGTCGGGGCGGAGTGGATGGGGATGTGAGGGCCGGAGCCGTAGGCGTAGTAGGTGTTTGTGGGGAGGTCGTAGAGGATGCTGGGGTCGTGGATGTGGAGGGGTGGGATGGTGGGGTTGGTTGGGGGGTAGCCGTAGATGGATTTGTAGGTGTCCTCTGGGGATGGAGGGGGGAGGTCTGGTGATTCTGGGATCTCGGGGGTTTGGGGGATGGTGGAGGGTTGGAAGTGGATGTAGAGGGCGTAGAGGAGGATGGAGAAGAAGGTGAGGAGGGAGAGGGATTTGATGATGCGACGGAGAGTGGATGGGGATGGGGAGATGGAGCTAGTGTTGGTGTCTTTGGGGTTGGTGATGAAGGTCCATAGTTGGGACCAGTTGGGGGTCATTGTGTGGTGATGGAATGGTAGTTCATTGCTTGCTTGGTGGCGGGAGATATATGGATGCTCAGTGCATGTGGGATTGCCAACTGGTGAGTATGTTGCAATCTAGGATAGTGATGATGCGATGTTCAGGATATAGTCTGGAAAGAGGGGTATGGCAGCACCCTGTATCCTGGCAAGTGACACTCGACACTTCACTTATTTGTGGCCGGTTATCATGAATAGATGATGGTAGGTCTTGGCGAACCCCTTCCTGATGTGTTCATCTACATATCCAATTAGTATCACTCTTGTGCTGTTCCGGGGAACGACTCACATATTTGATGCTAGGAACACTGCAAGGCCAGCTGCATAACAAGAGCAGTCAGCGCTAGCGAGATGGACGGGAAAGGGAGTTCAATAATTATCAGGAAGAATTGGCCCGTCCGTTCGGCGATGATCGTCGATCCGCCCCCAGTAAGACAACGGGCCAATCAGCGGGACGGCATGTGATGCCGTCTCAGCTAAAGTGAGGTGCGAGGATCACCATTGCTTGGTAGAATGTAGACAATCTGGTCTCTATTCATCTACGTGCACTACGTGGCTCTGATTATTGCTTCAGAATTATGGATATAGTGGATCATGGCAGTTCAAGTAGCCGGAACATCATTATACGCATCAATAGCATACAGGGTACTGGGATCAACGCATGTCTTATCCAGCTCATAGCCGACATCACAATTGGCAGCTGGAAGTCATGCTAAGCACAAACCAACGCCCTTGCTCCATACCCTTAGCACTAGATAGATATCCTACCTCACTACAATCTTGTCCACCTCATCTTTCGCCTCCGTCCACGTCTCCAAGTTCTTGCGTGCCCAATCCAGATGGCATCGTGCATATGCGACCTATCCAGTCAGCTTCATTCCCCCGGGAAAACAGCAGTATGAACTTACCATGTACCGCCGGAGATCCATCTCCTTGTCCTTTTGGAACCGCTTCAGATCCTGCAACACTCCCGCACTGGCATCCTTGACATCCTTCTCGGACACTCCAAGAGCCTGCTCCAACTGCACCAAACTCTCTTTCGTCTTGCCGATCTGGTCGCGGCGGGTCCGTTCCGGATCAACATCCACAAAGCCGTGCACCGCGTGGCTGATCCGACCGAAGATCTTGTTCGCCACAAACGTCCCACTCGACGTCTTGCGATGCGCCGGCGATGCACCGCCAAAGTCCGGACGCCGCTGTGCTGCCGGAGGTGGATGGGAGTTGATGGAGTCGCCGTGCGTAGGAGGAAATTCCGAGTCGACTGATGCACCGTCTTCAGAACCAGCTGGACGGGCCTCGCCCTCGGAGCCTCCTGGCGCACTGACGGCCGACGATGCGGACAGAGACCGCTGCGTTCTCGTGGCCCCACCTGGAGGCGAAGTCCGGTTGAGGTACTGCTCAATGCGTTTCGCTTCCATTTCACTGCGCTCCAAAGAGTCGAGCAGCGTCTTCTTCTTAGCCAGCTCGTCTCGCGTCATCTCTTCCTGCACCCGCTTGAGGACCCGATAGCGCAGAACACTGCGCACAACGCTGGCAAACTGGGCGCTTTCCCTCATCGGTTCTGCGAAGCTGGCACTCAGTTGCGACGACAGCTCCTCCGTCTCAATGTAGGAAGTATCGGCGGCTTGGCCGACCCGTTCGATGGCTGCTGCGACGGTCGGCGATGGCTCCGACAGGGAAAATCCGTTATACCGTGCTCCCAGCTCCATCAGATCGGCTGACAAGGACGATAGGTGGGCCAACGTCCGACGATTGACCTTTTCAATGTTCCCCTGCAACAGTAGTTCCAACTCACGCGTAGACGCCTCGAAATTGATAAAGTATGGGTCGAGTTCCTTTTCACTCAGCTTCCGTGACTCTGGTGGGAAGCGACCGAGAACATCAGGCCCAGGTGTTTCTGGAGCGGGAGCAGGAGCAGGCGTAGCGCCGCCCGCAGACTTGAGCTTCGCGGATGATGATGGGACTGGGAGCCAGGCATGAGCGGGGGTGGGGTTGGCGGGGTCAAGCGGAGGAGCCTTGAGATTATTCTTCGGCACAGACGATGCAGGATGGGAGTGTAGGACCTCGCTCTGGACGAAGTCAGTATACCACAGCTAGAGTCGAGCTATCATCAGACCTACCCAGCTAACATTGGGGTCCAAGAACCGCCACCAGACGCCATCCTCACGGACCTCCTTCATCCGACGACAACGATTCAAAAAGACAGCCAGCATACGTTTGCGGAGGTCGATTATGGCGGTGTCTTCCTTAGCCTTGGTGGGCTTGGCGGCATAATCGGCCATGGTATGTTTCTCGGGAATGGGCGGGATGACGAGGGTGGGATGAAGGTTGACAAGAGTCTGTCGCAGCGACGCGAACTCAGAATACCGCCTGCGAACCTCCAGATCCTAGAAATCATTAGCACAAGCGCCGATGCAGCTTCGATGACCATTCTGACATACTCCGGTGCGTATTGTGTACACAATGAAGCTGCCGCCGCCCTCGTGGTTCTTCCCAGCGTCTGTGATGAGGATCGGCATCTCCGGGTTTTCGTAAAGAATCTGCTCTATCCGACTATCATATACACTCTTGCGAAGGTAGCCATGGCCAGCAGGTTGGGCAGCATAGTCTGGAGCGTCGTCTTCGTCACTAAGGTCCTGTTGCTGTGAGAGGAAGTCCGGGGGATTGTCGGTGGATGATCGGCTGGAAGGAGAGGGAGGGGTATATTCGCGGTCATAGAGAGCTGCAGGAATTAGAAAATACAGCTGGATGATTGATGGTCGGTGATGGAGATTGACAGCTTACTGGGAGAAAGGGTGGCCGAATGCAGCGACTCGGAGAGATGCGCCTCGTTATCGAATGCGCCGTACGGGTTGTTATCCTCGTCGTTCCACATGGCGTCGGGGGCTGATGGAGCAGCCTAGATACTGAGAGAGTGGGTGTGACAGATCAAATCATGAATCAGACAGGAGGATTAGAAAGCAGAGGCTAAGTTCACGAGACTAAGGGACAGAAACAGGGAGGACAGGAGGAGGGAATGAGCTGGGGAATCCCGAAGGCATCGCCGGCTCTCTCGCGGGGATCAACGTCACCGCCTCGGGCGGCCGGCAGCGACCATCTCCGTCGCCTTAAATAGAACTACCAATTACTACACTCCACTCCTTTGCACACTTCACCTCCAACTTATTCAACTTACTCCCCCACAGCACTCCCCCTACCATCCACCCTCTGGTTCTGCAGGCTCCTCGTGTGTCTCCTCATTCGTCTGCTGCAATGCCGCTGTCAACGCATTAGGATCCACTCCTCCATGCTGCTGCTG